AAGCCAAAATCTAAAAATAAAAAGGGTGTGGGTGCCCCCCCCAAAAAAAATCATATGAGACCCTTCGGGTTTGACATGGGTTTTGAGGGGAGCCCCATGCTAAAACCTAAAAAAAAAAGGGTGTGGGTGTCCCCCCCAATAAATTCATATGAGGCCCTTCAGGTCTGACATGGGTTTTGAGGGGAGCCCCATGCAAAAAATCTAAAAATAAAAAGGGTGTGGGTCCCCCCCCCCAATAAATTCATATGAGGCCCTTCAGGTCTGACATGGGTTTTGAGGGGAGCCCCATGCTAAAATCTAAAAATAAAAAGGGTGAGGGTGCCCCCCCAAAAAAAATTCATATGAGGCCCTTTAGGTCTGACATGGGTTTTGAGGGGAGCCCCATGCTAAAATCTAAAAATAAAAAGGGTGTGGGTGCCCCCCAAAAAAAATTCATATGAGGCCCTTTAGGTCTGACATGGGTTTTTCGGGGAGCCTCAAGCCAAAATCTAAAAATAAAAAGGGTGTGGGTGCCCCCCCCAAAAAAATCATATGAGGCCCTTCGGGTTTGACATGGGTTTTGAGGGGAGCCCCATGCTAAAATCTAAAAATAAAAAGGGTGTGGGTGTCCCCTCCAATAAATTCATATGAGGCCCTTCAGGTCTGACATGGGTTTTGAGGGGAGCCCCATGCTAAAATCTAAAAAATAAAAAGGGTGTGGGTGCCCCCCCAAAAAAAATTCATATGAGGCCCTTTAGGTCTGACATGGGTTTTGATGGGAGCTCCATGCCAAAATCTAAAAATAAAAAGGGTGTGGGTGCCCCCCCCAAAAAAATCATATGAGGCCCTTCAGGTCTGACATGGGTTTTGAGGGGAGCCCCATGCTAAAATCTAAAAATAAAAAGGGTGTAGGTGCCCCCCCAAAAAAAAAATCATATGAGGTCCTTTGGGTCTGACATGGGTTTTTCGGGGAGCCTCAAGCCAAAATCTAAAAATAAAAAGGGTGTGGGTGCCCCCCAAAAAAAAAATCATATGAGACCCTTCGGGTTTGACATGGGTTTTGAGGGGAGCCCCATGCTAAAATCTAAAAATAAAAAGGGTGTGGGTCCCCCCCCCAATAAATTCATATGAGGCCCTTCAGGTCTGACATGGGTTTTGAGGGGAGCCCCATGCTAAAATCTAAAAATAAAAAGGGTGTGGGTGCCCCCCCAAAAAAAAATTCATATGAGGCCCTTTAGGTCTGACATGGGTTTTTGAGGGGAGCCCCATGCTAAAATCTAAAAAATAAAAAGGGTGTGGTAGTCCCCCCCAAAAAAATTCATATGAGGCCCTTCGGGTCTGACATGGGTTTTGAGGGAAGCCCCAAGCCAAAATCTAAAAATAAAAAGGTGTGGGTGCCCCCCCCCCCAAACCCTTAGGTCTGGTATGGATTTTAAGCAGAACGCCATAACAGACGCTTATCTGAGCCAAACAGCCTGGCAGGCCAGGAAAGGGGAACGACAATAGAGTGCCCCCCCTCCTGAACCATACCACCCAACATACCCTTAACATGGGGGGGGTGCTTTGGGGGCACCTTGTCCCTCAATTGAGTTGAATATACACTGCAAAAAAAATGAAAGAACGACTTTGTAATCCGAGTCGCATGAAGTCCATGACTCTCCCGGGATATGGATCTGGTCAGGTAAGTCGCAGAGGATCTGGTCAGGTAAGTCGCAGAGGGGGTGGTAATCAGTTTCAGCTGCTTTGGTGGTAATGAAATTGACAACAGGTGCACTAGATGGGCAACAATGAGATGACCCCCAAAATAGGAATGGTTTCCCAGGTGGAGGCCACTGACATTTTTTCCCTCCTCATCTTACCTGACTGTTTTTCTCTCGTTTTGCATTTGGCTCGGGTCGGTGTCACTACTGGTACCATGAGGCCATACCTGGACCCTACAGAGGTTGCACAGGCAGTCCAACTCCTCCAGGATGGCACATCAATACCTGCCATTGCCAGAAGGTTTGCTGTGTCTCCCAGCACAGTCTCAGGAGCACGTAGGAGGTTCCAGGAGACAAGAGCATGGAGGAGATTCCAGGAGATGAGAGCATGGAGGAGATTCCAGGAGACCAGAGCATGGAGGAGATTCCAGGAGACAAGAGCATGGAGGAGATTCCAGGAGACGAGAGCACGGAGGAGATTCCAGGAGACAAGAGTATGGAGGAGATTCCAGGACACAAGAGCACGGAGGAGATTCCAGGAGACAAGAGCACGGAGGAGATTCCAGGAGACAAGAGCACAGAGGATATTCTAGGAGACGAGAGCATGGAGGAGATTCCAGGAGACCAGAGCACGGAGGAGATTCTAGGAGACGAGAGCACGGAGGAGATTCCAGGACACAAGAGCACGGAGGAGATTCCAGGAGACAAGAGTATGGAGGAGATTCCAGGACACAAGAGCACGGAGGAGATTCCAGGAGACAAGGGCACGGAGGAGATTCCAGGAGACAAGGGCACGGAGGAGATTCCAGGAGACAAGAGCACGGAGGAGATTCTAGGAGACGAGAGCATGGAGGAGATTCCAGGAGACCAGAGCATGGAGGAGATTCCAGGAGACTAGAGCATGGAGGAGATTCCAGGAGACAAGAGCACGGAGGAGATTCCAGGAGACAAGAGCACGGAGGAGATTCCAGGAGACAAGAGCACAGAGGAGATTCCAGGAGAAAAAGAGCACGGAGGAGATTCCAGGAGACAAGAGCACGGAGGAGATTCCAGGAGAAAAGAGCACGGAGGAGATTCCAGGAGACGAGAGCACGGAGGAGATTCCAGGAGACGAGAGCACGGAGGAGATTCCAGGAGACGAGAGCACGGAGGAGATTCCAGGAGAAGAGAGCACGGAGGAGATTCCGGGAGACAAGAGCATGGAGGAGATTCCAGGAGACGAGAGCATGGAGGAGATTCCAGGAGACAAGAGCACGGGAGGAGATTCCAGGAGACAAGAACATGGAGGAGATTCCAGGAGACAAGAGAATGGAGGAGATTCCACGAGACAAGAGCATGGAGGAGATTCCACGAGACAAGAGCATGGAGGAGATTCCAGGAGACAAGAACATGGAGGAGATTCCAGGAGACAAGAGAATGGAGGAGATTCCACAAGACAAGAGCACGGAGGAGATTCCAGGAGACAAGAGAATGGAGGAGATTCCAGGAGACAAGAGCATGGAGGAGATTCCAGGAGACGAGAGCATGGAGGAGATTCCAGGAGACAAGAGCATGGAGGAGATTCCAGGAGACAGGCGGTTCCTCTAGGAGAGCTGGACAGGCCCGTAGAAGGTCCTTACCCATCAGCAGGACCGGTATCTGCTCCTTTGTACAAGGAGGAGCAGGATGAGCCCTACCAGAGCCCTACAAAATGACCTCCAGCAGGCCACTGGTGTGAATGTCTCTGACCAAACAATCAGAAACAGACTTCATGAGGGTGGCCTGAGGGCCCGACGTCCTCTAGTGGGCCCTGTGCTCACTGCCCGGCACCATAGAGCTGGATTGGCATTGGCCATTGAACCCCAGAATTGGCAGGTCCACCACTGGTGCCCTGTGCATTTCACAGATGAGAGCAGGTTCCCCCTGAGCAGGGGTGGACTGACAACTCATGGGGCCCCCGGGCAATAGGGGATCATGGGGCCCCTGTGTCCTTGCCCAAACTCAAAAAAGCCTATGAAAAAGATACCAGGGGCATCTCATGGGGCCCCCTACTGACCCCGGGCCCTCGGGCAGTGCCCGAGTTTCCAAATGGTCAGTCCGCCCCTGCCCCTGAGCACATGTGACAGACGTGAAAGGGTCTGGAGAAGCGGTGGAGAACGTTCTGCTGCCTGTAACATGGTTCAGTATGACCGTTTGGTGGTGGGTCAGTGATGGTCTAGTGAGACATCTCCATGGAGGGACACACAGACCTCTACAGGATAGACAATGGCCCCCTGACTGCCATTAGATATGTGGATGAAATCCTTGGACCCATTGTCAGACCCTACACTGGTGCAGGGGGTCCTGTGTTCCTCCTGATGCAGTGGGTCCTGGGTTCCTCCTGGTGCGGTTGGTCCTGGGTTCCTCCTGGTGCGGTGGGTCCTGGGTTCCTCCTGGTGCGGTGGGTCCTGGGTTCCTCCAGGTGCGGTGGTCCTGGGTTCCTCCTGGTTCGGGGGTCCTGGGTTCCTCCAGGTGCAGTGGGTCCTGGTTTCCTCCTGGTCAGGGGGTCCTGGGTTCCTCACGGTGCAGTGGGTCCTGGTTTTCCTCCTGGTGCGGTGGGTCCTGGGTTCCTCCCGGCGCAGTGGGTCCTGGGTTCCTCCCGGTGCAGTGGGTCCTGGGTTCCTCCCGGTGCAGTGGGTCCTGGGTTCCTCCCGGTGCAGTGGGTCCTGGGTTCCTCCTGGAGCAGGGGGTCCTGGGTTCCTCCTGGTGCAGTGGGTCCTGGGTTCTTCCTGGTGCAGGGGGTCCTGGGTTCCTCCTGGCGCGGTGGGTCCTGGGTTCCTCCTGGTGCGGTGGGTCCTGGGTTCCTCCTGGTGCGGTGGGTCCTGGGTTCCTCCTGGTGCGGTGGGTCCTGGGTTCCTCCTGGCGCAGTGGGTCCTGGGTTCCTCCTGGTGCAGTGGGTCCTAGGTTCCTCCTGGTGCAGTGGGGCCTGTGTTTCCCCTGGTGCAGACAATGCCCGGCCTCATATGGGGAGAGTATGCAGGCAGTTCCTGGAGGATGAAGGAATTGATACCATTGAATGGCCCCCACACTCGCCTGACCTAAATCCAATAGAACCCCTCTGGGATGTCATGTTTCGGTCCATCCGACGCCGCCAGGTTGCACCTCAGACTGTCCAGGAGCTCAGTGATGTCCTGGTCCAGATCTGGGAGGAAATCCCCCAGGACACCATCCGTGGTCTCATTAGGACCCTCCCCCGACGTTGTTTGGCTCCCACAGAACCCGTCTGTGGGAGCCAGAATCATTGTTGGTTGGCGGGGATCAAACACTTATTCTACTCCCTGAACTGTAACTCCATTCATAACATTTGTATCGCGTTGTTTCTGGATTTGTGGTCGATGTTCTGTCATTTCTATACATCGAGGATAACAATTGCAGACCGATCGTTTCTGTGTAAGACGGCGAACGTCCGGAACCTTCCGGGGATCAAATCGGGATTTTCTGCCCCGAACAACGCAGAACATTCCCAGTCACTGTACAGCCAGCGCTAATACTGAACACCACACTAGGGGGCAGTGCAACCCTGCAAATGGATACGCCGTGTCCTGGATGCCGGGAGTCATTCTGTATGTATGGACTCTGCACAGTCCCACTTCTCCTGTCCCGGATGCCGGGTGTCATTCTCGGTATCAGTCCCCGTTCTGTATGTATGGACTCTGCACAGTCCCACTTCTCCTGTCCCAGATGCCGGGTGTCATTCTCGGTATCTGTCCCCATTCTGTATGTATGGACTCTGCACAGTCCCACTTCTCCTGTCCTGGATGCCGGGCGTCATTCTCGGTATCTGTCCTTATTCTGTATGTATGGACTCTGCACAGTCCCACTTCTCCTGTCCCGGATGCCGGGTGTCATTCTCGGTATCTGTCCCCGTTCTGTATGTATGGACTCTACACAGTCCCACTTCTCCTGTCCTGGATGCCGGGTGTCATTCTCGGTATCTGTCCATATTCTGTATGTATGGACTCTGCACAGTCCCAACTTCTCCTGTCCTGGATGCCGGGTGTCATTCTCGGTATCTGTCCCGTTCTGTATGTATGGACTCTGCACAGTCCCACTTCTCCTGTCCTGGATGCCGGGTGTCATTCTCTGTATCAGTCCCCATTCTGTATGTATGGACTCTGCACAGTCCCACTTCTCCTGTCCCGGATGCCGGGGTGTCATTCTCAGTATCTCCCCATTCTGTATGTATGGACTCTGCACAGTCCCACTTCTCCTGTCCGGATGCCGGGTGTCATTCGGTATCTGTCCCCGTTCTGTATGTATGGACTCTGCACAGTCCCACTTCTCCTGTCCCGGATGCCGGGTGTCATTCTCGGTATCAGTCCCCGTTCTGTATGTATGGACTCTGCACAGTCCCACTTCTCCTGTCCCGGATGCCGGGTGTCATTCTCGGTATCTGTCCCCATTCTGTATGTATGGACTCTACACAGTATAACTTCTCCTGTCCTGGATGCCGGGTGTCATTCTCGGTATCTGTCCCCATTCTGTAAATGGACTCTAGCACAGTCCAACTTCTCCTGTCCCGGATGCCGGGTGTCATATTCTTCTCGGTATCACGTATTTGTCCCCATTCTGTATGTATGGACTCTGCACAGTCCCACTTCTCCTGTCCCGGATGCCGGGCGTCATTCTCGGTATCTGTCCTAATTCTGTATGTATGGACTCTGCACAGTCCCACTTCTCCTGTCCCGGAGCCGGGCGTCATTCTCGGTATCTGTCCTTATTCTGTATGTATGGACTCTGCACAGTCCCACTTCTCCTGCCTGGATGCCGGGTGTCATTCTCGTATCTGTCCGAGCGTTCTGTATGTATGGACTCTGCACAGTCCCACTTAACCTGTCCTGGATGCCGGGTGTCATTCTCGGTATCTGTCCATATTCTGTATGTATGGACTCTCTGCACAGTCCCACTTCTCCTGTCCGAGATGCCAGGTTGTCATTCTTCGGTATCTGTCAGCTATTCTGTATGTATGGACTCTGCACAGTCCCACTTCTCCTGTCCCGGATGCCGGGTGTCATTCTCGGTATCTGTCCTCATTCTGTATGTATGGACTCTGCACAGTCCCACTTCTCCTGTCCCGGATGCCGGGTGTCATTCTCGGTATCTGTCCATTCTGTATGTATGGACTCTGCACAGTCCCACTTCTCCTGTCCCGGATGCCGGGTGTCATTCTCGGTATCTCCTCCTATTCTGTATGTATGGACTCTGCACAGTCCCACTTCTCCTGTCCCGGATGCCGGGCGTCATTCTCGGTATCTCCTCCTATTCTGTATGTATGGACTCTGCACAGTCCCACTTCTCCTGTCCTGGATGCCGGGTGTCATTCTCGGTATCTGTCCTTATACGATATGTATGGACTCTGCACAGTCCCACTTCTCCTGTCCCGGATGCCGGGTGTCATTCTCGGTATCTGTCCCCATTCTGTATGTATGGAGCAGATTAGCTCTGACATCAGATACATTGTTATGACTCCAGCACAATGTTCGGCCAGTTGCAGTTCAGAGGACGACTTTTCCTGAAGACGATGACTTTCCTCTTCCTCGGTGAGGTAATCACACTGACTGAGGGAACACGGAGGACGGGGGAGGGGGGGGAGAAGGACCAGCGTAGGACTAACTAGCAGTAAAGAGGAGGGGAGGGTAGAGGAAGATACCAAAATAACTTTAGTAAACAAGTTGCAGCGAACAGAAACCACCACTAGATGTCAGCATAATGATAGACAATAGGAAGCTAATGCAGTTCAATGCTGAAACATCCATGGGGGAACATGAGGCAGAACATTCACCTACATGGAGGAACATGAGACAGAACATTCACATCCATGGAGGAAATGAGGCAGAACATTCACCTACATGAAGGAACATGAGGCAGAACATTCACATCCATGGGGGAACATGAGGCAGATTCACCTACATGAGGCAGAACATTCACCTACATGGGGGAACATGAGGCAGAACATTCACCTACATGGGGGAACATGAGGCAGAACATTCACCTACATGGGGGAACATGAGGCAGAACATTCACCTACATGGGGGAACATGAGGCAGAACATTCACCTACATGGGGGAACATGAGGCAGAACATTCACCTACATGGGGGAACATGAGGCAGAACATTCACCTACATGGGGGAACATGAGGCAGAACATTTCACAGAACTACATGGGGGGAGGCAGAACATTCACCTACATGGGGGAACATGAGGCAGAACATTCACCTACATGGAGGAACATGAGGCAGAACATTCACCTACATGGGGGAACATGAGGCAGAACATTCACCTACATGGAGGAACATGAGGCAGAACATTCACCTACATGGGGGAACATGAGGCAGAACATTCACCTACATGGAGGAACATGAGGCAGAACATTCACATCCATGGAGGAACATGAGGCAGAACATTCACCTACATGGGGAACATGAGGCAGAACATTCACCTACATGGAGGAACATGAGGCAGAACATTCACCTACATGGGGGAACATGAGGCAGAACATTCACCTACATGGGGGAACATGAGGCAGAACATTCACCTACATGGAGGAACATGAGGCAGAACATTCACCTACATGGAGGAACATGAGGCAGAACAAACATTCACCTACATGGAGGAACATGAGGCAGAAACATTCACCTACATGGGGGAACATGAGGCAGAACATTCACCTACATGGAGGAACATGAGGCAGAACATTCACCTACATGGGGAACATGAGGCAGAACATTCACCTACATGGAGGAACATGAGGCAGAACATTCACATCCATGGAGGAACATGAGGCAGAACATTCACCTACATGGGGGAACATGAGGCAGAACATTCACCTACATGGAGGAACATGAGGCAGAACATTCACCTACATGGGGGAACATGAGGGGCAGAACATTCACCTACATGGAGGAACATGAGGCAGAACATTCACCTACATGGAGGAACATGAGGCAGAACATTCACCTACATGGAGGAACATGAGGCAGAACATTCACATCCATGGAGGAATATGAGGCAGAACATTCACCTACATGGGGGCCAGGTAGGTGAATGAGCCAGCAATGAGGCCTCTAATTTATTCTCCAGAATCTAGACTCTTTCTCACAAGGTGCTGCTTCTACAACAGGCGGTGTCATGGGGCCCGAGGGTGGGAAGGGGGCCCCACTAGGGAGCTGGTCTGAGGTCTCCATTGTGAACGAGCCGAGGTCAGATGCAGGGGATCGTGCATTGGGTGGGAGAAGGTCGTTCAGCACCAGGGGCGGATTGAGAACTCATGGGGCCCCCAGGCAATAGGGGATCATGGGGCCCCTTTGTCCTTGCCCAAACTCAAAACTGCCTATGAAAAAGGTACCAGGGGCATCTCATGGGGCCCTCTACTGCCCAAGTGCACGAATGGTCAGTCCGCCCCTGTTCAGCACCCAAGGTGAAGACGCCCAAGTGCCCCCCCTTTCCTGTAGGTACCCCCATAGTGTAGGGTGCACTTCCTGCCTATTTAGTGCCCGCCCCCCCATGCTCAACCACCCAAGGTGACTACCTCATCTACCTACCCCTCACCCCAGCCCTGCATGGGGTCTGTTGCTGGTCACGGATCCCCCCCCCCCCGATCTGTGAGTAGATGTAATGCTTTCAGAGCTTCTGGTCATCCCGGCCAGCACTGAAATTCTCCCTGTATGGCTGACACAGTATGAGGAATCCCAGAGTGTCTCCTCCCAGAGGTCCGTAATACTGAAAAAGCTGCAAAGTTAGAGGATGGTGAGACGTTTATGGGGGGGGGGGGGGGGGGGGGGCGCTGCCCCTGTATCAGCATCTGAATCACCTGCTGGTGGTACTGTGGTCCCCTGGGTGGAGGGTTGTAGTTTCAGTGTCCACCAGCGGGTGTCTCCTAGCAGCCAGCAATCTCCTGTAATCAGTCTCCACCTGATGCTGGCTGCTGGGCGGGTATACAGGTCCTCCTCTGCCTCTTGTCTTCGGTGTTGCCAGTGATCCCGACCTTGCTCCTGCCCTCTTCCCTGCTGCCTTGTACCGGCCCTCCTTTGTTCCTGACCCCCAGGTTTGGTCCCCCCTTCCCATCTACTTCCTGCACCGACAGATTTACCTGCTTTTGTGGGCTCACGATTGGCTAGGTGTGGGCGCCCCTGTGTCAGGATCTGGATCACCTGCTGGTGGTACTGTGGTCCCCTGGGTGGAGGGTTGTAGTTTCAATGTCTACCAGTGGGTGACTCCTAGCAGCCAGAAGTCTCTGGTAATCAGTCTCCACCTGATGCTGGCTGCTGGGCAGGTATACAGGTCCTCTTCTTCCTCTTGGCTTCAGTGTTGCCATAGATCCTGACCTGCTCCTGCCCTGTACCCTGCTGTACTGGCTCTCCTTTGTTCCTGACCCCCAGTTTTGGTCCCCCCTTCCCCATCTGCTTCCTGCACCTCCAGATTACCCTGCTTTTAAGGGCTCATGATTGGCTAGGTGTGGGCACCCCTCTGTCAGAATTTGGATCACCTGCTGGTGGTACTGTCGGTGGAGGGTTGTAGTTTCAGTGTCCACCAGTGGGTGTCTCCTAGCAGCCAGCAGTCTCCGGTAATTAGTCTCCACCTGATGCTGGCTGCTGGGCGGGTATATAGGTCCTCCTTTGCCTCTTGGCTTTAGTGTTGCCAGTGATCCTAATCTTGCTCCTGCCCTCTTCCCTGCTGCCTTGTACCAGCTCTGCTTTGTTCCTGATCCCCAGTTTTGGTCCCCCCCCCCTTCCCATCTGCTTCCTGCACCTCCAGATTACCCTGCTTTTGTGGGCTCACGATTGGCTAGGTGTGGGTGCCTCTATGTTAGGATCTGGATCACCTGCTGGTGGTAATGTGGTTCCCTGGGTGGAGGGTTGTAGTTCTGGAACAGAGCCACCTAATGGCAGACTAGCTAACTGCACCTGCCTATAGTTGAGGCTACTGAGAAGCTAGCTGGAGAACTGAGGTGTCAAGTTCATTCCATGCACAGTCTCTCCTAAGGGCGGACTGACCATTTGGAAACCCAGGCACTCCCCGAGGGCCCAGGGTCAGTAGGGGGCCCCATGAGATGCCCCTGGTCCCTTTTTCATAGGCTTTTTTGAGTTTGGGCAAGGACACAGGGGCCCCATGATCCCCTATTTCCCGAGGGCCCCATGAGTTGTCAGTCCGCCCCTGGCCTCTCCTGATACCTGTCCTTGACTTAGACATACTCTCCAGAGCCCTCAGTCCTGATGCAAGCAGTGGGAGGAGTTATGCAAATACCAAAATGCCTTGACAAATGGGTGTCAGTCTGGAGGAGCGGGCGTTCCTAGGCAGGCTGTATTTACATAAGTAATGCCCACATGCGATTCTGAGCCTCCACGATCGACGGAACCGAAAGCCAGTGAATAAAAGGGGCGGGGCCAGGGGCAGGCAGGCCGGGGAGGAAAGGGCTGGATGATGCTGGGGCGTCCTCCAGGCAGGAGCTCTAGCTGACTGGCTTCAGCTTCTAATGCACGTTATGAGAAGCTCACAGTGTGCGGTGACATAAGAGGAAGCTATTTCAGTCCAAGAGGGGAGCCGGTCCACCTGGAGGGTGGAGGTCAGATTTAATTACATTTAATGGTCATGTTAATTTTTTTTCCGATGTAATAACAATGTAACTATTTAAGGAAAGTGCAGTTTAATTTTTATTAAGAGCCGCTGTGTAAGTATAGGCCGCAGATCTCCGATGACTAGTAATTAAAGGGGTGAGGTGCGTAGGAGATCCATCAACCTGGACAGGGTTCTTCAGAAGCCGGATCCTGCCTGAGATGCATGAAGGCAGACCAGGTTCACGTATTAAACCCGGACACCTTGGTGCTCCTTCCCTACGTTAGTAGAAATGGGGACTTTCTAGTCCAATGGGATTCTTTTGTTTAATTGCTAAGACCAGATACGAAGATATGGATTTTCTATGGAGAACATCAGCCCACTGAGCAACTGGACCCAAAAATCAGTGGTGGTTAGGGATGACCAAATCCACCATGGTTTGAATAGCCAAAGGTCAACCCAAACGTCATGAACTGCGAATTCCACTGTAAACCTCAACTGTCACATTCAGGTGGTCAGGGAACAATAACTACAGTATAGCAGCAGAAAGGCTCCCACCAATCAGCAGGTCACCCTGGGGGAGGATGTAGGCTCATCCGAGGTGTGGGGTCCGAGCACTAACCGGTATTCACCAGAGCTCCTGAGGGTGGAGATGGGTTTTGTTGCATGTTCGTACCAGGTTGTGGTCCTCAGAATCACCACACCAAGAGGTGAGCGAGCCGGGGTCTAGTAGCAGATAGAGCAGGTAGGGATC